TGAGGAACCAGCCTGGACACAGCAGAGTATTGGAGAACACAGAAATGCTGGACCACTCTCACGACCACCATGTCAGGCTACACAGAGAAGCCACTGAAACCCACAAGAAGCATGTGGACAATTTCAACAGAAAGGAGGAAACCATGAAAATGAACAAAATCTGGCTACCAGGATTAAAAGACTCTAAAATTACAACAGCAAAACAATCAGGGACATCTAATCACCTCTCAACAGAAGATTGCCCCAGGCACTGCCAGGCCATCAAAATGCTAATCAGTTGAAACATTCACACCTAGCTCCAGCAGACAAGAGTCCTTTGTCCCACCCTGGTCATTCTACAGGTATATAAACCCATTTTCCTAGTTCCAACAGACCTCACTACCTCTGAGGATGCTTGCCATCRGGCCACCTTGATTAGCGTTTGATGGCCTGGCAGTGCCTGAGGCAATCTTTTGTTGAGAGGTGATTAGGTGTCCCTGCTTGTTTCCTCTGTGGAATAATGTCCAGGGTGGGACAAAGAACTCTTGTCTGTTTGAGCCAGGTGTTAATGATTCAACTGACCACCTTGATTAGCATTTGATGGCCTGGCTGTTGTTTGGTGTGGCTTGTTAGTGCCTGGGGCAGTCTTTTGTTGAGAGGTGATTAGATGTATTTGTGATGTTGTTGTTTTGTTGTGTTTGGGCCTTGGCCTCTTGTAAGCCGCACCGAGTCCTTCGGGAGATGTTAGCGGGGTACAAATAAAGGATTTATTATTATTATTATTATTATTAGATGTCCCAGATTGTTTCCTGTCTGTTGTTMTGCTGTTGTAACAAGCATGGACACCTAATCACCTCTCAACAAAAGATTGCTCCAGGCGCTGCCAGGCCATCAAATGCTAATCAAGGTGGTCAGTTGAAACAGTCCCACCTAGCTCCAACAGACAAGAGTCCTTTGTCTCCCCCTGGTCATTCCACAGATATATAAACCCATTGTCCTACTACCAACAGACCTCACTACCTCTGAGGATGCTTGCCATAGATGCAGGCGAAATGTCAGGAGAGAATGCCTCTAGACCATGGCCATATTGCCCGAAAAAACCTACAACAACCCAGTGATTCCAGCCATGAAAGCCTTCGACAATACATACATACAAAGGACTTCCCCTGACCTCTTGACCTCTTGCCCTCATCCTGTCTCCTCTCTCTCCGTCAGGGAGAGCTAATCACCTCCCAACAAAGGATTCCCCCGGGCAGTAAGAAGCCAAGCCTTGAAAACTGCTGGGCCATTCAATGCTAATCAAGGTGGCCAATGGCAGCATTCACACTTGCCTCAAGCAGGCAAGAAAGCTTCCTCCCACCCTGGGCATCAGTCCACAGGGAAGTTTTCCAGGCTGCATGGCCATGTTCCAGAAGCATTCTCTCCTGACATTTRGCCCACATCTATGGCAGGCGTGTTCAGAGGTTGGGAGGCCTGTTGGAAACTAGGTCACTGAGGGTTATATATATATATCCCAGGGTGGGAGAAAGAACTCTTGTCTGCTTGAGGCAAGTGTGATAGTTGCCCTTGGCCACCTTGATTAGCACTGAATGGCCTTGCAGCTTCAAAGCCTGGCTGCTTCCTGCCTGGGTGAATCCTTTGTTGAGAGGCATTAGCTTCCTCCCACCCTCGACATTATTCCACAGGGATATATATAAACCTCCCTTGCCTTGGATAGCCTTGCAGCTTCAAAGCCTGGCTGCTTCCTGCCTGGGGGAATTGTTTACTGAGAGGTGTTAGCTTCCTCCCACCCTCGACATTATTCCACAGGGATATATATAAACCCCCCTTGCCTCATTGGATAGCCTTGCAGCTTCAAAGCCTGGCTGCTTCCTGCCTGGGAGAATTGTTTACTGAGAGGCGTTGGCTTCCTCCCACCCTCGACATTATTCCACAGGGATATATATAAACCCCCCTTGCCTCATTGGATAGCCTTGCAGCTTCAAAGCCTGGCTGCTTCCTGCCTGGGGGAATTGTTTACTGAGAGGCGTTGGCTTCCTCCCACCCTCGACATTATTCCACAGGGATATATATAAACCCCCCTTGCCTCATTGGATAGCCTTGCAGCTTCAAAGCCTGGCTGCTTCCTGCCTGGGGGAATTGTTTACTGAGAGGCGTTGGCTTCCTCCCACCCTCGACATTATTCCATGGGATATATATAAACCCCCCTTGCCTTGTTGAATAGCCTTGCAGCATGGCCAAGTGTGAATACTGGCTGGGCTTGGGGGTGACAGCCCTGGGCGCCTGGGAGTTGTAGTTCCCCCTGACCCAGAGAGCCCTTGAACCCAGCCAGGGAGAGGCCTGGCCCAAGCTTGGCACACAGGCCCACCCTGCCCAGCTGTGCCTACGGGCCTGGCGTGGGGGTGGGGGGGAGGCCTGGCCCTGGCTGGCTCCTGGGAGTGGTAGTCCGCTCTCCCGCCTGGCCCTGCCTTTCCTCCTGGGCGAAGCCTTCCTTCCTCCTTCCGCCAAGGCAGGCTTCTCCCTCCTCCAGAGAGAGAGAGAGAGAGAGAGGCTCCTTCCTTCCTTCCTCCTCAGGGGGACCCCCTCTTAGTCCACCAAGAGGCACACCAGGCCTCCCTCAGGCTCCCCAGGCAGGAGAGACATAGAGATAGAGAGACACACCTTCTCCGGAGAGACACCAAAGGAGAAGAGAGAGAGGCTTCTTCCCTGGGCGAGAAAGGAGGCTTCCTCCTGGAAAATGGCGGCCGGACCGGAAGGGGCGGGGCCTGCAGTGGCGTCGCCCGCCCCAGCCGCGCTCCCGATTGGCCGCCCTCTGGCGGGGCTCATTTGCATCTCGGAAGGGGCCGCCCCCTGTCGGCCTCTCCCCTCCCTCCCTGCCTCCCTCCCTCGGGGACTCCGTTCCGCGCAGGCGCAGTCAGGCAGCCTTCCCTCCTCCTGGGCCTGTTCCCTTCCTAAGCGGCCGCTCCGAGGGTGCGCTTCCCCGCCTGGCCACTGGGGGGCAGCAAAGGGCAGAAAGGAGGAGGGGCGTCTCCAGGCGAGGGCGCCTTCCCTTCTCCACCAGAAGAGGGCGCCCCAGGGAGGGAGGGAGGGGGAGGGGCCAGGAGGGATGCCCCGCCCACTTCCGGCCTCTCTCCTTCCGCCACAGACCCAGGGTTGTCATCACTGGGAGAAGCAGGAGGAGGAGGAGGAGGAGGAGGAGGAGGGGCTCTCCCCATCAGACAGACATAATGAGACATAACCAGAAATAGGATTCCTTAGGAATGGGAATAATAATAATAATAATAATATGGCCTGCCTGCATTGTGGGATCCTGGGAGGTGTAGTTGAGCATATGGACCCAGCACTGTCTGGTTTGCACCCTTGTTGAACTAGGCCTCCCAAGGGTTCTATAGCAAAAGGCTGTACTTCTGCAAGGACTTCTCTGCTAGATCACACCAGGGACTCACCCCACCGCAACGGTGCAATGAAGGCACGCTTTGGCACCGCTTCGGATTGCTGTGGGCTGCTGGGATCTGTAGTTCACCGCAGTCCCATGGCTCTCTGATAGGGGGCAATGCTGGGTGAGCCCCACTCAAACTTCCGCGGCTCATTGCTATGGAATCCAGGGAGTTGTAGTTTGGTAGAGGAGGCAAAAGGCCTTGGAAAACTGCACACAGAACTCCCAAAAGTAACAGAAAATACTGGAAGAGTCTGATGGGCATTTACCTTGCATTTTTGAGTTGTAGTTCACCTACATCCAGACAACACTGTGGACTCAAACACTGATGGATCTGCACCAAACTTAGCACGAATACTCCATATGCCCCAATATGAACACAGATGGAGCTTGGGGGAAATAGACCTTGACATTTGGGAGTTGCTGGGATTTATAGTTCACCTACAATCAAATTTATAGTTCACCTCCCATCTTTCTAACCAATCCTAGCTTATTGATTTTCCCTCTAAGACTTGGATACGCCCCCTCAAGGCAAACCTAACTAAGATGGCTTCTCCCTGTCTCCCTTTCCTAAAATGCATTCTGTGGCTTCACTAGGCCCACTCCCTTTAGGCCTCAGGCAGCCAAACAAGGTAAGGGATTCATTACATTCCTCCCTCGCCCAAGATGCTTTGCTGAATGAAGAGGTTTTCCTTCCTCTTCTGAAGCAAAGGCCTAGCTCTACACTGTAAGCCTAACTAACAAAATTCTAACTAAACTGTTCACCATCCCCACAGTAAACCCACACACAGTAAAAATACATTTGCACAACATCTGCAATAAATACATTTGCAAAAAGTCATTATTACATATTAAGCAATCAATACAGTATATACAACAAATACATTCCTGAAAAAGGAAAAACAGTAAATACAGTACACATTTATGCATATACACGAATTCATCACATCTAAAACAATACCTTTACCAATCCTGGATCCTTTTAACCAATTCCTCTGGATAATGCATCTGCCATTACATTTCGGGTGCCTTTCATGTGCTTGACCTCAACATCATAATCTTGGAGTGCTGAATTCCAACGGATCAACTTGCTGTTGGTACTCTTTACCTGATGCAGCCACCGTAGAGGTGAGTGATCCGTGCAGAGCGTAAACTTTCTCCCCCACAGGTATGGCTTTAGTTTTGTGATGGCCCAAACTATTGCCAAACACTCACGCTCTATCGCTGACAGGTGTTGTTCCCTTTCTAACAACTTTTTACTCATCTACAGCACTGGCTGTAACACATCTTCAGCATTCTCCTGACTCAAAACTGCTCCAAGGCCTACCTTAGAAGCATCAGTTGTCAAAACAAAAGGTTGATTAAAGTCAGGGGCTCGCAAAACAGGTTCAGTCATTAACGCACTCTTTAACAAATCATAGGCAGTTTGACACTCTGGTGTCCACACCACTCTATCTGGTGAGGCCTTTTTGTGCAATCAGTCAACACTGCTGCAAGTGAACTAAAACTTGGAATAAATGGCCTATAAAATCCCAGAATTCCCAAAATGAACAAATCTGTTTCTTGGTACATTGTATAGGCCATTCCCTTATGGCTTGCACCTTGTCCATATCTGGCAATATGGTTCCACCTCCGACCACATGGCCAAGGTATTTCACCTGCGTTTTGGCCATTTGACACTTTGAAGCCATAATAGTCAAACTGGCCTCTTTCACCTACTCAACACCTTCCCCAAGTGTTCCAGGTGCTGCTCCCACGTTTGACTATAGACAGACAGATCATCTATATACGCCTGGACAAAATCTTTCATTCCTGCTAACATTTGGTCAAATAACCTTTGGAAAGTTGCTGGTGCATTTTTTAAGCCAAAAGGAAGAACCAAACAATGATATAAACCATCCTGTGTAATAAAAGCAGTTTTCTCCTGATCCTCGGGATTCATAGTGACCTGCCAATACCCTTTTCTCAGGTCTAAAATTGTTATATACTGGGCTGATCCTATGGTCTCAATAAGTTCATTTATTCTTGGCATAGGATAAACATCCAAAACAGTGACCTGATTTAATTTACCATAATCAACACAAAACCTAATAGTGTTGTCCGGTTTAGGAACTAAAATAATGGGAGATGACCATGGGCTACTTGATGGGACTATCAAACCAAGATGTAACATCTCCCGAATCTCTTTTGGGATTAACTTGGCCCGCTCCCCTGTTACACGGTATGGTGAAGATGAAATGGGATTAGCTGTCCCTGTGTTGATAKGATGACAGGCTAAATTAGTTCTCCCAGGTATGTTAGAAAATACCTCTCTATACTGGTGTAATAGATCTTGCAGCTGCTTTTTCTGTGGCGCTGTGAGGTTTGTATTTTCCTCCACAGAAGGCAGGGTACAATCAGAACACACCTTCCCCCAACCAGACAATGAAACCGCTCYATCTGTCTCTTGGGAGACTTGCATAATCACATTAGCCCTTGAGTGATAAGGCTTTAACATGTTTACATGTAACTTTTTACATCTCCCTCCCTCRAAGTTTTCTCCCACTAAATAMGTCACYTCAGAWATCTTAGRCAGAACTGTATAGGGACCTTCCCATGCRWCTTCTAGCTTTCTTTTTGACCTTSGTTTTAATACAAGCACTTTATCCCCCACATTCAAAGTCCGATGTCTTGCGTGGAGATCTGCCTGCTCCTTCTGTCTCAGCTGCGCAGTCGACAGACTCTCGGCTACAMAGTCCCTTATGGTTGATAAATGTCTCTGCAAGTCCTCAATATAACTACCGATGTCAGTCTCTGGGATCTGCTCCACTCCAGTCCATGCTTCTTTCAAAATGTCCATGGGCCCATGAGGTGTTCTCCCATAGGGCAACTCGAAGGGACTAAACTTTGTGCTTTCCTGGGGCACTTCCCTATAAGCAAATAATAAGTGCTGCMGTTTTCTGTCCCAGTCATTGGGATTTTTATGGACGTATGTCTTCAGCATATGATTTAGGTGCCATTGAACCTTTCTGTCAAGCCGTTGGTCTGCGGATGATACGGAGTGGACGTTAGATGCTTTATCCCACAGGTTCGGAATATCTCTTGCATCATCTGGGACATGAAGGTAGTTTCTAGATAGATCAGTGACAATTGATCTAGGGAACCCCACACGTGCAAACAGGTTAAGCAACGCGTTTGCCACCGTTTTCGAGTTTGTTTCCTTCAAGGGAATTGCTTCTGGGTATCTGGTAGCAAAATCAATAGCAGTCAAAATACATTGATGTCCATCTTGTGTTTTATTGGACATGGGGCCAATAATGTCTACCCCCACCTTGTCAAAGGGGATARTGAGGACAGGGAWTGACTGCAAAAGCCCTTTGGYTTTATCTTTGGCTTTCCCAACAAATTGACATGTTTCACAGTKCACTYTCTRGGCAGWRAATCACTCTATGCCTTTAATTCTTGCATAGCATTACATACATTAYRTCTTACACCGGACACCCAGAGTTTAAAAATTATAAACTTGAGAATGGGAAACATAATGTTGGGGGACAGGAAAAKAGATTTAAAGCCAACCTTAAAAACTGTGGCATTGACACCGAGAACTGGGAAGCCGTGGCCCTTGAGCAACTGTGACCAGCAGTGCTGCAGATTTGAAAGGGGCACAAGTGGAGTGCAGAAGGGAGATACGTGCCAAGAGGAAGGAGCAGCATCAAGAGGAAGAACATGCGGTTCAAGAATAGGGCTCAACAGTCACTGTTGCACACCAAGGCTGGGGTTGGCACCTTTGAACCTTTATTTATTTATTTATTTACCACATTTGTATACCGCCTTTCTCAGCCAGAGGCAACTCACACCAATGTTCTTTATAGCAAAGCAGTTTATTGAGGATTAATATAGCAACAGCCAAAAAAGGTAAAAAGCATTTAAACAAGTAATAAAGAAATGTCCAAAAAACGGTCAGTTGAGCAAAGTAAAATAAGACAGTCAATTATCAGCCAGGAACCAGGAGGTTTGCAAAGACCAAAGTCCCTTGAAGAAACATCACCAAACTTGAACCATTAAATCTCAATGCAGGAGTTTGAAACCAGGACCAACCACATACAAGAATCTCAGCATGAACATGAATCCCAGGCAGAAGCAAACACGAATCTTAGCATGAACAAGAAGGCATGGATACCAGGCATGAAACAAAAGGCGTGGTTACACATGAAAACCAAACATTAAACTCACTGAAGAGTATAGATTCACAGGCCCTAAATTTATTCAGAAAGCCATAGCAAAAGCATTCTGTTTCCCTTGGGAAACCTCTCCCTGACCCCCTTTTTCTCTTAATCTTTCAGACCGCCTTCTCCCCCCTTCCAGGTGGCAATGTTGATTGATTTGTCTTTTCCCATCAAAGCGTGTCTGGTCCTCCCTCGGCTTGCCAATTCGTACATTCCTTTCGCTAACAGTATTTGGCCTTGGCCGTTCAACCTTTTCCTCGGCCTCTTTTTCTGTTAGCATTGCAGCATCTTTGCCTTGGGAACCAACTATCCCAGAATCCTCAGGCTCACTCTGGCTAATTGTACTCTCTTGACCATCATCTCTAGACACAAACCCCTGAGACTCAGCAGAAACCTGATCATCTAACTCAGACATTGGAACCTCTGCAGACTCATGGTCATTCTCCTCAGAAGCCTGAAGCAAAGAGACAACCACAGGCTGAGCCCCTAAAGCCACCTACGGACCCACGGCCAAGACACAGCACTTGGTGGACCCTCATCCTCGGGCTACGAGGGAACGCCTAAGTAAGTACTGAGTCTTGAGCTGTATACCTTATTCAATAATATATTGGAAGGAGGGAAAGCACCTGATACCTGGAGGCATGCGGAAATTATAGTTATTCTGGAACCACAGAAAGACTCGAGGGAGACCGGATCTTCGAGATCAATCAGCCTATGAAAGCTGATTGCAAAATATTTGCTAATATTTGCAAGTATTTTTTTGCTAATATTGCTAATATTTGCAAAAAAAATTAGCCACTGGATTGGAAAATGTATTACCTAAATTATACAGTGGGAGCCCCCAGTGGCGCAGTGGGTCAAACTACTGAGCTGCTGCACTTGCTAACCAAAAGGTCGTAGGCTCAAATCCGGGGAGAAGGGTGAGCTCCCACTGTTAGCCCCAGCGTCTGCCAACCTAGCACTTTGAAAACATGCAAATATGAGTAGATCAATAGGTACCGCTTCAGCAGGGAGTTAAGGACGCTCCATGCAGTCATGCTAATGGCAACATGGCCTTGGAGGTGTCTACGGAGAATGCCGGCTCTTCGGCTTAGAAATGGAGATGAGCACCAGAGTCCCAGAGGCGGACACGACAGGATTTAATATCGGGGAAAACCTTTAGCTTTACCTTAAATACAAACAGACTGATACAGATTTGTCAAAGCCAGGTACACTGGGCATCCAATCGGAAATATTCGACATATAATGGAACATAAACAAAGGAAGAAATAACGGCAGCCCTCCTAAAATCAGATATACCGAAACAGCCTCAGCTCAGGATGGTGTGTCTCTGAATCAATGAATGAGTGGCATGCCTAGGAGTTGGTGGTGGTTAGTATAGTGCAGGCATGGGAAGACTCGGGCCCTCCAGGTGTTTTGGAGCACTCCAGACAACAAGCAATCAAGGGCCAGTTAACACCTCCCAACGAGAGGATGCCCCAGCCAGCAACAGCCAGGCCACCTCGATGCAAATACCCTCACTGACTGATTTGGCAGCTTCATGGCCACTCAATGCTCATCAAGCTAGCTAATTGCAACATTCACACATGCTTCCAACAGGCAAGAGATCTTTCTCCCTCCCTGGACATTATTCCACAGGGATATATACACACACCCCACTAGTCTCACTTCCAACAGACCTCTGAAAAAATGTCAGGAGAGAATGTTACCAGAACATGGCCATACAGCCCAAAAATCTCACGGCAACCCAGTGATTCTGGCCATGAAAGCCTTCGACAATACCGAATAATTGGTTTATACAGGAAAGATTATGTAGAATGGAATGATAGAGTAACTTTATTGTCGTTGTACACGGCAAAACCAAATCCAATGCTTTCCTCAGCAKACATCACAAKACCAACACACCCYTCCCTSCACACCCCAACCACCKCCACCCAGCCCCCAATGCAACATCAATGCAAAYRCARGGAGTCTTGTATAGTTACAGCTCCYGGATAAAAGCTATCTCTCAGTCWGCTYTCTCTCTATTGAAACYTCTCTCTCTCCATTAATATTATATACTGAAAGTCTCATATGGGYTGGTTTAACCTCTGGCTTGCTAGTTAAACTAAATTACTGTGTCACAAAAGGATGTATTTCTTAAAAGAATTTCACCAACATGAAAAGTCTGGAAAGCTCTATCTGGGAAACTCTCTTTGGGGTCAAACACCGCTGTTCTCTCCAATGTGAATTCTATGTCTATATAGATTTCAACTCCCAGAGAAGCTTTTTCCACACACAATGTGTTTATAGGGTTTCTCTCCCAGTCTAAGTCCTTTGATGTGAATGTAGACCTAAACTCTGAGTGAAGCTCTTTCCACACTCCAGGCATTTATAGGGTTTCTCCCCAGTGTGAATCCGTTGATGTGAACGTAGATTTCCACTCTCAGTGAAGCTCTTTCCACACTCCAGGCATTTATAGGGTTTCTCCCCAGTGTGAATCCTTTGATGTGAACGTAGATTTCCACTCTCAGTGAAGCTCTTTCCACACTCCAGGCATGTATAGGGTTTTTCCCCAGTGTGAATCCTTTGATGTGAACGTAGACTTCCATTCGTAGTGAAGCTCTGCCCACACTCCAGGCATGTATAGGGTTTTTCCCCAGTATGAATCCTTTGATGTGAACGTAGACTTCCACTCTCAGTGAAGCTCTGCCCACACTCCAGGCACGTATAGGGTTTCTCCCCAGTGTGAGTCCTTTGATGTTTATATAGATCTGAACTATGAGCAAAGCTCTTTCCACACTCCAGGCATGTATAGGGTTTCTCCCCAGTGTGAGTCCTTTGATGTGAACGTAGACTTCCACTCTGAGCGAAGCTCTGTCCACACTCCAGGCATGTATAGGTTTTCTCCCCAGTGTGAATCCTTTGATGTGTACGTAGTCTTGAACTATCAGTGAAGCTCTGCCCACACTCCAGACATGTATAGGGTTTTTCCCCAGTGTGAATTCTTTGATGTGTACGTAGATTTCCACTCTGAGTAAAGCTCTGCCCACACTCCAGGCATGTATAGGGTTTCTCCCCAGTGTGAATCCTTTGATGTTTATGTAGATCTGAACTATGAGCAAAGCTCTGCCCACACTCCAGGCATGAATAGGGTTTCTCCCCAGTGTGAATCCTTTGATGTGTACGTAGACTTCCACTCTCAGTGAAACTCTTTCCACACTCCAGGCAGTCATAGGGTTTCTCCCCAGTGTGAGTCCTTTGATGTTTATGTAGATCTGAACTATGAGCAAAGCTCTTGCCACACTCCAGGCATGTATATGGTTTCTCCCCAGTGTGAATCCTTTCATGTGAACGTAGACTACCACTCTTAGTGAAGCTCTTCCCACACTCCAGGCATGTATAGGGTTTCTCCTCCATGCGAATCCTTTGATGTCGCTTCAGATGACATCTCCAAGTGAAACTCTTCCCACATTCCAGGCACATAAATGCTTTCTCCTTCATGTCAGCCATGATCTGCGTGTTTGATTGCAATACCGTCTTCCTTTTTCCTTCCTTATCTGTATGTGAGGTCAAGATTTCAGCAAGTCCATCACCTTGCTACATCCAAGGGGTAGCTCCATTGAATCCTCATTTTCCTGGTTAAGAAAGAAGCAAAAGATTAAAAATGAAGTCAAGAATGTTTCTTTACCTCCACAATTTCCCCCTTTCCTTTAGTGGGTCATGTTGAAAATGGAAACACCCAGAAATGCAAACATCAGGGTCTTCAGAGGTTCAGTTGGACAATGAAGCAAGTGGAGTGTCTCTATCCCTGTGGAATAATGTCCAGGTTGGGAGAAAGAACCCTTGTCTGCTTGAAGCAGGTGTGAATGGCCCAGCATTCCTGCGTTTTCAAATAAGATTCTGTGTCCAGCACTCAGAAACAGGAGAACTCCAGACAGCAAGCAATCAGGTGCCAGTTAACACTTCCCAAACAGAGGGTGCCTCCAGGAAACAGAGGCCAGGCTGCCTCTCTGCAGATATCCTCACTGATTGACTCTGCAGACTTCATGGCTACTCCAATGCTAATGCAAGCTTGCTCATTGCAACATTCACCTTTGCTTCAAACAGACAAGGGTTCTTTCTCCCGCCCTGGATATTATTCCACAGGAATATTACTCCATTTTCTTCGCTGCCAAGAGAACCTCTGAAGGTGCCATTAGCCACATGTGCAGGCAAAACTTCAGGAGAGAATACTGCTGGAACATGGGCAGACAGGCCAAAACATGTACAGCAACCCAGCGATTCCGCCCATGAAAGCCTTCAACAAAACATTATTAAAACATGCCTCGTCCAGAGATATTTCTCCCCCAGCTGCCAGTTAAAGGTCTGCTAAAGGGTGAAAAATTGTAACTTTTCCCCTGGTCAGGGAAGCCTTTCAGAAGCAGGAAACATTTGGGACCTTTTGGAGACCACGTGAAGGTTTCATTATGCCTTCCTTCTTTCCTTTCTTTATTGTTCTTTCTTGCCTTCCTCCTTTGGTAGGGGGAAATATGATATAGAGGCGGTTTGCCCACTCTGTCCAGAGGCACCTCCACGGCTCAAAGGCACACTTCAGAATTTCAAGGCAAGTGCAATATTCCCTTGCCCACAAGAGGGTGTCACGAAAATTTAATATGCAGATTTGATCAATGTGGATTTAATATGATGTGTGGGAATGAATGGAAGGATGAATAAATGGAGTCAATAATTTTGGAAACACCAGTAAAGGATCCAGGCCTGAAATGACTAACTACTGGCTTGCTGGACTGTGATTAAAAGTTGCTAATAACAACTGAAGAGTAAACTCTGATAAGAATTGAGACAGTGATAACAGACATGTTTACAATGTTAAGAAGGAAGTCAACATAAGATCAACACCAATCAAGAAGAGTCAACATCTGGCTAGGAAACTGAGATGGAGCCAGGATGGAAGAGGTCTATCATTAATTTACAACTTTGGGACTACATCAGCAGAATACTCCTATAAAAGACTCAATCTAATAATGCTCAAATTGGAGTCCTCGTGGACAACAAGTTAAACATGAACCAAAAATGTGATGTGGCGGCAAAAAAGCCAACGGCCCCAATAGGAGTAATATAGTATATATTACTATATATATATACAATATATATAATGTAATATAATATAATATATATACATATATAATATTTATATGCAGTAGTCTTTCGGCAGTCCATCGCCGTGATCAGATGTGCTGTTCTACAATCTCCCAGGTTCGAGTGTGTTCACCTGAGGGTGGGAAACCGTGACAGCTTGGGGATTCTGCTGGTGTACCGCCCACCCCGCGACTCAGCAGTTTCTCTACCTTGAGCTAGCAGAGGTGGTCTCCAATTCGGCCTTGGTTTCCCAGCGCTTGATTTTGCTGGGAGATTTCAACATTCATGCTGAGAACAGGGACAGCTCAGGACTTCATGGTCACCATGACGACCATGGGGCTATCACAATTATATCTGGACCCACCCATCAGGCTGGACATACACTCGACCTAGTTTTTGTGGCGGACAGTGGAATGGTCAGAGTGGAAGAACAAAACATCCTTCCTTTGTCATGGTCTGACCATTATCTGATCAGTTTTAGACTTACTGCGACCACAAACCTTCGCAGGGGTGGAGGATCAACCAAGATGATCTGCCCCAGGAGACTGATGGATCTGGAAGGATTCCTGAGGAATCTTGGGGCTCTTCCCGCCATGGAACCTGGCGATCATGTTGACACTCTGGTTGATTCTGGTCGATTGCTACAATAGCAAGATGGCCAGGGTGATAGACTTGATCGCTCCCGAATGCCCCCTCTCGTTGCGTAGCGACACACCGTCTCCTTGGTTCACTGGGGAGTTGGCTGTGATGAAGCAGAGGAAGCAGGAAAACATTTCTACTGTCCTTTCTGGATAATCTAAACCTCTGTGGTCTGTTAACTCTACACATGTAGGCAGCTTTACAAACACGATCACAGCTTTAAAAACACACACTTTGAAATCTCCCAATGAATCAAATGTAGTTCAACAATGTCTTGGGGCTACTCTAGAGGTTTGTTGGGAGGGCAGAGATCTGAGGAGGATCTTTAAACTTTTTAAACAGAGGGCCAGATCTCAGTCTCTCAAACTGTTGGAGGGCCGGATTATAATTTGAAAAAAGCATGAATGAATTGCTATGCTCACTGCACATATCTTATTTAAGTGCAAAAAACACTTAAAAACAATACAATAATTAAAATGAAGAACAATTTAACAAATATAAACTTATTAGTATTTCAATGGGAAGTGTGGACCTGCTTTTGGCTGATGAGATAGGATTGTTGTTGTTGTTTGATTTCAAGTCATTTCAACTTAGGTTGACTTTGAGCGATGGGCAGGTAAATGACCTTGGAGGGCCGTATCTGGCCCCCGGGCCTTAGTTTGAGGACCCCTGGTCTACAGAATGCCTGGCAGTTTGGGGTTGGGTAATATAGGATCGTGATTAGCTGGGAGGTGATGCTGCAAAAAGGTTTGGAAGGAGTTCATCTCCCTCCTGGTTCTAAAGGTCAGAGTGATCGTCTATAACATGTTAGGGCATGTTGGTGAGTGTGTTGACTCAAAATGCAAAGCACGAATCTGATTGGTTGGGCAACACCCAAGGAGCTAGCTGAGCCTGGGAGTTTTGGCAACAGTTACATCCTTGGGCTTTAGCTGTGCAGGAGCTTACAGAGATATTTCTTGCTTCATGAGCTGCAGGAAGAGGATCTTCCACGTGGACACCGAAATACCATTTGAATCTCTCTCAAAATATATTGTGTGAGTCAACGCAACTGTTCTCAAGATTGTATATATCTATATAAATAAAAATGTACTGTTCATTTGTGGGATTAATATAACTCAAAAACCACAGACGAATTGCTACCGGAACATGGTCATACAGTCCAAAAAGCTCACAGCAACCCAGTGATTCTGGCCATGAAAGCCTTCGGCAGTGCCGAATAATTGCTTTATACAATAAAGATGATACAGAATGGAATTATAGAGTAACTTTATTGTCACTGTACATGGCAAAACCAAATTCAATGCTTTTCTCAGCACACTTCACAAAACCAACACACCCGTCCCTCCACACCCCAACCACCACCACACAGCCCCCAATGCAACATCAATGCAAAACCACAGAGTTCTGTATACTTACAGTTCTAGGAGAAAAGCTATCTCTCATGTCAAATGTCTCTCTCTATATTATCATCTATATAAATAAAAATGTAATGTTCGTTTGTGGAATTAATAGAACTCAAAAACCACTGGACTAATTGATACCAAATTTGGACACAAGACACCAACTAAAGCAATGTATGTCCTTCACTCAAAAAAAAAAACAAAACAAAACCCCCAAAGGATTCAGAGAGGGAGGGAAGGAGAGAGAGGACACCCCCCTCCAGATCCACCCTCTCCCTTTCCTTCCTTTCCTTTCCTTTCCTTTCCCTCTTCTCGGGTCTTGGCTGTCAGCAGCATGGAGGTGCCTCTGCTGGGCTGCTGGGAACTCACACGGGAGGGATTCTGTGTGTGTGTGTGTGCCAAGAAATCTCATCCATATTGAGTTATGGGAAGGAATTTTGGGAAATGAAGTCCAGTATTCAAAGAAAGGACAAAAACGCACGCTCTGTGAGTTAGGAAAGTCTGTTCAGGAAGGCACAATCAAAATGTGACTGTTATGATAATTTGGTTATAATTAACTGCTATTGTTTTAACTCCGTATGTCTTTATGGTTTTATAATGTGCTATTGATTGTGGCATCGAATTGCTGCCTTTGTTAGCCGCTCTGAGTCCCGTCCCCCTCCCCCCGGGGGTTGGGAAGGGCGGGGTAAAAATGCTGTAAATAAATAAATAAAACATTCCTGAAAGATGGCCATCCATTTTTACTTTATAGTAACCCTGGGCTATAATATATCTAAAATAATAATATCTATATATCTATCATAGTAATATCTATAAGTCTATAATCTACATATATATGTATATATGTCTATGATATCTATATGTCTATAACATTATCTAGATGTCTATAATATCTGTATGTCTGTAATAATAATGTCTACATGTCTATAATTATAATATCTGTCTGTAAATAATATCTATACATCTATAATAATAATACCTATATGTCTAAAATATCTATGTCTATAATTATAATATCTATATATCTATAATAATACAAATAATATCTATATGCATATAATAATATTTATATGTCTATAATAGCAATAGCAATACTTATATAATATCTTTGAACTGGGTTATATGGCGGTGTGGACTCAGGCAACCCAGAGCCCTTCCACACATCCATATAACCCTTTGGCCTCGAGGAGACTGAAATGCGCCTATATTACGTTGACACTTTGCCACTTCAGTTGTGTATTGATAGCTTAGAAACCAGCTCTTCCTCTTTTCTTTCTTTCCCATTTCTCCAAAATGGGCCACAGCAACACGTGGCTGGGTACAGCTAATATTATGTAATATAGTATTATATTGAATATCTTATATGAGGTTGTTTAAACTCTGATTTGCTTGTTAAACTAAATTACTGTGTCACAAAAGGATGCATGTCTAAAAAGTGTTTGACCAACATGAAAAGTCTGGAAAGCTCTTTCTGGGAAACTCTGTTTGGGGTCAAACACCACTGTTCTCTCCAGTGTGGATTCTATGTCTATGTAGATTTCTACTCTCAGAGATGCTTTTCTCACACACTATGTGTTCATAGGGTTTCTCCCCAGTGTGAGTCCTTTGAACTCTGAGCGAAGCTCTTTCCACACTCCAGGCATGTATAGGGTTTCTCTTCAGTGTGAGTCCTTTGATGTGAACGTAGACCTGAACTATGAATGAAGCTCTTTCCACACTCCAGGCATGGATGTTGCTCCCCAGTGTGAGTCCTTTGATGTCTATGTAGATTTCCATTCTCAGAGAAGCTTCTTCCACATACTATGCATTTTTAAGGTTTCTCCCAGTGTAAGTTCTTTGATGTGAATGTAAACTTGAACAATGGGTGAAGCTCTGTCATCACTCATGGGATTTATAGGATTGTTCCCCAGTGTGAGTCCTTTGGTGTTTACGTAGGTTTGAATTCTGAGTGAAGCTATTTCCACACTCCAGGCATGTATAGGGTTTCTCCCCAGTGTGAGTCCTTTGATGTGTACGTAGATTTCCACTCTTAGTGAAGCTCTGCCCGCACTCCAGGCATGTATAGGGTTTCTCCCCAGTGTGAGTCCTTTGATGTGAACGTAGATTTCCACTCTGAGTGAAGCTCTGCCCACACTCCAGGCATGTATAGGGTTTCTCCCCAGTGTGAATCCTTTGATGTGAACGTAGACTTCCACTCTCAGTGAAGCTCTGTCCACACTCCAGGCAGTTATAGGGTTTCTCCCCAGTGTGAATCCTTTGATGTGAACGTAGACTTGAACTACGAGTGAAATTCTGCCCACACTCCAGGCAAGTACAGGGTTTCTCCCCAGTGTGAGTCCTTTGATGTGAATATAGATTTCCACTCTCAGTGAAGCTCTGCCCACACTCCAGGCATTTATAGGGTTTCTCCCCAGTGTGAATCCTTTGATGTTTATGTAGATCTGAACTCTCAGAGAAGCTCTTTCCACACTCCGGGCATGTATAGGGTTTCTCCCCAGTGTGAATCCTTTCATGTAAACGTAGATTACCACTGCGAGTGAAGCTCTTTCCGCACTCCATGCATGTATATGGTTTCTCCCCCGTGTGAGTCCTTTGATGTCGCTTCAGATGAGCCCTCCAAGTGAAACTCTTTCCACATTCCAGGCATATAAACGCTTTCTCCTCCATGTCAGCCATGATATGGGTGTTTGATTGCAATACAGATACTTCAGTCTTCTTTTCTCCTTCCTTATTTTACGTGAGGTCAAGATTTCGGCAAGACCCTCACCTAGAGAGAAGTTCTTCTTCCTATATAACTGATTTCATTGCTGCATCCAAGGGGTGGCTCCATAGAATCCTCATTTCTCTGGTTAAGAAAGAAGCAAAAGATCAAGGATGAAGGTGAGAAACTTCCTTTACCTCCACGATTTCCCCCTTTCCCTTCATGGGTCATGTTGAAAATGGAAACACCCAGAAATGCAAACATCAGGGTCTTCAGAGGTTCTGTTGGACAATGAAGCAAGTGGAGTGTCTCTATCCCTGTGGAATAATGTCCAGGGTGGGAGAAAGAACCCTTGTCTGCTTGAAGCAGGTGTGAATGGCCCAGCATTTCTGCGTTTTCAAATAAGATTCTGTGTCCAGCACTCAGAAACAGGAGAACTCCAGACAGCAAGCAATCAGGTGCCAGTTATTACCTCCCAAACAGAGGGTGCCTCCAAGAAACAGAGGCCAGGCCACCTCCGTGCAGATATCATCACTGATTGACTCTGCAGACTTCATGGCTACTCCAATGCTAATTCAAGCTTGCTCATTGCAACATTCACCCTTCCCACACAAGGGTTCTTTCTCCCACCCTGGATATTATTCCACAGGAATATTACTCCATTTGCTTCACTGCCAAGAGAAGCTCTGAAGGTGCCATTAGCCACAGATGCAGGGGACACGTCAGGAGAGAATGCTGCTGGAACATGACTAGACAAGGGTTGCCTTGGCCCTCTCCTGGGCTCTCTGCTCCTCTGCTGTAGGGACTTGTGGTGGTGGGTTCAAAATGCAATCCCACAGAGATTCACTTCTCAAGTAACTTTCTATGCAAACCTTCCACATGGAGTAGTTACCTGGCCATTCAACCTGGCAATGGGAAATACTGCCAAATTCACTCCTGGATCCATTTTCCAGAGTAAAGTCCCAAAACAAGAGTAAAGTCAAAAACTATGGTATTTGCACAAAAATAAGGACTAGGCTAGGGCTGGGTTAGGGCTGGGCCCATAACCTGTTACGCAGCACATGTTTTAATCCAACCTCCCAACGCCCAAAAACCCAGATGCAAAATAGTCTCAGACCAATAGTCAAGGTAAACAGAAAAACTTTACTCTCTTAACTTTGCAGAGATGAAACAAAACTGGCAATGCTGCACACAAAAATCAGAAGTGCAACATGTTTACACAGTCCTTGTAATAAACACAAAATGAAACATCTTCTAAGCAGCAAATGGGAAATCATAACAACCTGAAGTAAATGGCCATTTCACCCTCAGCATCTCCTGCTGGAACTCCACACTGGTGACACAGAACTCCAGCAGCAGCCCACCAGAAATCCAGCACCCACCACACTCTATTCAAAAAACTCAAACAGTTCTAGCCCCTTGGGCGTGGCACAAGATGGCTGCTTGACCTACTTAGTCAGCTGAACAAGATCATTACAAACAAGATGGTTTTTCTTCACACATTTACTTGTATCCTGCAAGGACTTACCGTAACAGGACACATTGGGACTGAACCCAGGTGTCATGTCCCGCTGTTGACGGTGGTTGGTAGAGTGGCACGCCTAGCAGTTGGTGGTGGTTAGTCTATAGAATGCCTGGCAGTTTGGGGATGGGTAATATAGGATCGTGATTAGCAGGGAGGTGATGCTGCAAAAAGGTATGGAAGGGGTAATCTCCCCCCTGGTTCTAAAGGTCAGAGTGATCCGTCTATAACATGTTAGGACATGGAAAAAAATCAGTTGGTGAGTGTGTTAATTGAACATGCAAAGCACGGATCTGATTGGTTGGGCAACACCCAAGGAGCTAGCTGAGCCTGGGAGTTTTGGCAACAGTTACATACTTGGGCTTTATCTGTGCAGGAGCTTACAGAGAGATATTTCTCGCTTCATGAGCTGCAGGAAGAGGATCCTCCACGTGGACACCTAAATACCATTTGAATCTCTCTCAAAATATATTGTGTGAGTCAAAGCAACTGTTCTCAAGATTGTATATATTGTCAATAAAACTCGGCCTCAGTCCAACTGCAATGAGGCACGCAATGAAAACGAAGTGCGTAGTCCTTTGTCCAACTTCAACTTTTAATAACCGACCAGTCATGAAGAAGGGCCTTTGGAATTTGTGCATGTGTATATTGTACTCTGTATTGTATTTATTTAATTGCAGTGTATGCTTTGAATTTCGGTAATGCTATGTGCCCATAACCTTTGTCAATATAATTCGGCCTCAGTGCAACTGCAATGAGTCACGCAATGAAAACAAAGTGCGCAGTCCTTTGTCAACTTCAAATCCTTGAAGTGCTACTTTTATTTAGTTACATTCTAAAAGCTACAGAAAAATAATAAATATAACTTTGTACAGGAGAAATCACACACGCGTCTTCCTCCTTCCCCGGCATGGCTGGAAGAGAACGCCCAGAAGTCTGTTATCAAAAAATCCACATCATTGGAATGTGTGACGTAGAGGAGGAAGGAGCAGCGTCAAGCGGGAGGACATGCGGTTGAAAAATAGGGCTCTACAGCCACTGTTGCACACCAAGGCTGGGGTTGGCACCTTTGAACTCGTATTTGTTTAATTATTTATTTACCGCATTTGTATACCGCCTTTCTCAGCCAGAGGTGACTCACACCAATGTTCTTTATAGCAAAGCAATTTATTGAGGATTAATATAGCAACAGCCAAAAAGGTAAAAAGCATTCAAACAAGTAATAAAGAAATGTCCACAAAACAGTCAGTTGAGCAAAGTAAAATAAGACGGTCAATTATCAGTCAGGAACCAGGAGAGTTGCAAAAATCCAATCAACAAGTCCACAGGAGTTAGAGTCTTTCAGTTCCAAAAGGTTGCAAAGACCAAAGTCCCTTGAAGAAACAGCAGCAAACTTGAACTATTAAATCCCAATGCAGGAGCTTGAAACCAGGACCAACCACATACAAGAATCTCAGCATAAACATGAATCCCGGGCAGAAGTGAACAGGAGCCTTAGCATGAACAAGAAGGCATGGATACCAGGCATGAAACAAAAGGCGTGGTTACACATGAAAACTCACTGAAGAGATTAGATTCACAGGCCCTATATTTATTCAGAAAGCCACAGCAAAAGCACTCCGTTTCCCTTGGGAAACCTCTCCCTGACCCCTTTTTTCTCTTAATCTTTCGGACCGCCTTCTACCCCCTTCCAGGTGGCGATGTTGATTGATTTGACTTTTCCTATCAGCGTGTCTGGTCCTCCCTCGGCTTGCCAATTCGTACATTCTTTTCACTATCACTATCAGTATTTGGCCTTGGCCGTTCAACCTTTTCCTCGGCCTCTTTTTCTGTTAGCATTGCAGCATCTTTGCCTTGGGAACCAACTATCCCAGAATCCTCAGGCTCACTCTGGCTGATTGTACTCTCTTGACCATCATCTCTAGACACAAACCCCTGAGACTCAGCAGAAACCTGATCATTTAACTCAGACATTGGAACCTCTGCAGACTCATGGTCATTCTCCTCAGAAGCCTGAAGCAAAGAGACAACCACAGGCTGAGCCCCTAAAGCCACCTACGGACCCACGGCCAAGACACAACACTTGGAGGACCCTCATCCTCGGGCTACGAGGGATCGCCTGAGTAAGTACTGAGTCTTGAGCTGTATACCTTATTCAATAATATATTGGAAGGAGGGAAAGCACCTGATACCTGGAGGCATGCGGAAATTATAGTTATTCTGGAACCACAGAAAGACTCGAGGGAGACCGGATCTTCAAGATCAATCAGCCAATGAAAGCAGGACTATATATTTGCAAAACATTTAGCCACTGGATTGGAAAACGTATTACCTAAATTATACAGTGGGAGACCCTGGTGGCGCAGTGGGTTAAACTACTGAGCTGCTGCACTTGCTAACCAAAAGGTCGTAGGCTCGAATCCAGGGAGCGGGGTGAGCTCCCATTGTTAGCCCCAGCGTCTGCCAACCTAGCAGTTCGAAAACATGCAAATATGAGTAGATCAATAGGTACCGCTTCAGCAGGGAGTTAAGGACACTCCATGCAGTCATGCCAATGGCCACATGACCTTGGAGGTGTCTACGGAGAACGCCGGCTCTTTGGCTTAGAAATGGAGATGAGCACCAGAGTCCCAGAGGAGGACACGACTGGATTTAATATCAGGGAAAACCTTTACCTTTACCTTAAATTAATACAAACAGACTGATACGGATTTGTCAAAGCCAGATATACTGGGCCTCCAATCGGAAATATACGACATATAATGGAACATAAACAAAGGAAGAAATAACGGCAGCTCTCCTAAAATCAGATATACCGAAACAGTCTCAGCTCAGGATGGTGTGTCTCTGAATGAATGAATGAATGAGTGGCATGCCTAGCAGTTGGTGATGGTTAGTATAACGCAGGCATGGGAAGACTCAGGCCCTCCGGGTGTTTTGGAGCACTCCAAACAACAAGCAATCAAGGGCTAGTTAACACCTCCCAACGAGAGGATGCCCCAGCCAGCAACAGCCAGGCCACCTCGATGCAAATACTCTCTCTGATTTGGCAGCTTCATGGCCACTCAATGCTCATCAAGCTAGCTAATTGCAACATTTACACTTGCTTCCAACAGGCAAGAGTTCTTTCTCCCACCCTGGACATTATTCCACAGGGATATATACACACCCACCCACTAGTCTCACTTCCAACAGACCTCTGAAAAAATGTCAGGAGAGAATGTTACCAAAACATGGCCATACAGCCCAAAAATTTCACAGCAGCCCAGTGATTCTGGCCATGAAAGCCTTCAACAATACCGAATAATTGGTTTATACAGTAAAGAT